TTTCCATGGTGGCCCCACTCTGCCGCCCTTCCCATTGGCCAGGCGTCCTGCTCTGGCTTTAGCAACAGAGGCTCAGATACCCATCTCCTTCCTGATTGGCCAGGCTATGCTGCAGCGCCATGGCAACAGGGGCAGAGGGACCAGTTTCTGCAGAACATCTTGAGTCACCATCTACCTGGAATGGAACTGAGATCGAGAGAGCTGCTTGCAGGGGATGCAAAGGGGAACAGGTAGCCCCCACCTCAGCTTACAGTCAGGGGGGGAACCCTCCTCCTTGGTTGCCCAGGGGTATGGGAGGCTCATGGGCTTCTCCCCTTTATCTCATCTATCCTGTACCTTACAGCATCTTCCCAGCCCTTCTCTTGCCCCAGGGCTCCTGTCTCCTGCAGAAGAAAAACCAAACCTCTGGCAGTGCTAGAGATTAACTCATTTGCCCAAAGTCATGCAAATTGCAAGCCAGACTATTATACTGCCTAACTTAAAGGCTTTAGAGGGTCCTTCCTAGAGAATCCAGGGATCTTTTTTTTTTTTAATAGACTATTTTTAGGGCACTTTTAGGTTTACAACAAAATTGAGCAGAAGGCTCAGAGATTTCCCATAGTCCTTTTGGTTTTAATAGCAATCCCCCTTTTAGTCATCAAACAGCGAATGCTTTCCAAAGCACTCTCCTCTCTGATCCTCCCAACAACCCTATGCGTTTGGTAAGTCAGGGAAGAATGCCCCGTTTTATAGATGAGGACACTAGAGCCTAAGGAGGGCAAGTGATTTGCTCCATGTCACACAGCATATTGGTGCCAGAGCTGGACCTCCAACCCTAGCCTCCTGAATCCTTGTCAGGGCTCTAACTCCAAACCATTGACTTATCCATACCAGGGGGCCTCCAGGAGGTTTGGAGGGCTGCTCTGAGGGGTCCTCTCATCTGTTTAGAGAACAGTGCCAAGTAGAATCAGGCATTCCAATGTTTTCAATGTGGACCAGAGGTTTCACACCGTAATCCTCGTCCCTGCCAAGCAACTCCTAAATGTGGCTCCAGTCCCCAGGAAGGGTCCATGTTTCACTGGAAACCTTGCTTTCCGCCCCTTCTCCCCTCATACACCCCCAGGTGAAGAAATACTCATAAGCTTAACTATAATCACTTTAACATTACTCTGCTTGAAGCTGTGCTGAGCATGCATGATCTCACTGAATCCTCACCACAACCTTAGCTGTGAGGTCTTTATTGTCCACCGTTTATAGATGCATAAACTGGTGCTCAGGAAGGTTAGGCACCATGCCAAGGTCACACAGGTCGTTAACAGTGCAGCCAGAGTTCTAATATGAGACCACCTGACTTGAAAGCAGGCTGGCTTGTACAGTGGTGATGCATGCAGATTCTTTTGCTCTTGGGTGTGCATTATTTCCTCAGTTGAGGCTGTGGCTCAGAGGATCTGCTGTGTCTTAGGGACTTAGAAATCCTTGGCCCCTGAGGAGTGACTCAGTGTCCCCAACATTGTCTCCCAGTGCCTAGTTTCTCAGCTTTGTGATCCTTCAGGAGGGTGTGGCTGGGTTGCTGGCAATCAGCAGTAGACTTGGAGAAGAGAAAATCCTGGGACCTCCTTGCTCTGAATCTGAGCCCCTGCTAAAAACGAATGTTTTGGCAGTTTCCTTTCCTTCCTGCTCAACTTGGGCTCCCTGAAGCTCTTGCCCCTGAAACACAGCCCAGCCACCTGGCCTGCCCTCCTGCCCTCCCAAGGGCACATGTTTTGGAGGGCATGGCAAGGCAGGAGCTCACGCTGGCCACTCTACTCCCCTAAGTGCCACATCAGCAAGGGGCACCATCACCAACAATCTGTGGCATCTTCCCTGTGCCAGATACCACACAGGCGCTGGGGAGACAGCAGGGAACAAACCATTATAGCCCCTGCCCTCATGGAACCTGCTGCCTAGTGGAAGAGATGGACAATAAGTCACAAGTGAATAAATTGTGATTTCAGTGGTGATAAATGCCTTGGACAGGATGAAACACGATAATGGGATAGAAAGTGACTGGCCGGGTGGCAGGGGTTGTGGGGAGCTGTCAGGTGTGCTGTTTTAGCTAGGATGGTAAGGAAAGGCCTCTCTGAGGAGGTGACATCTGAGCAGACACCTAATGAGGAAGAGGCACTTGTTTCAGTCAATCTATGGCCACGTAAAAACCAAAACCATGTAACAAACCCCAAAACTTGGTGGTTTACAACCACCATTGATTATTTCTCACAAGTATGTGGTTGGTCTCAGTGGTTCCTCTGCCCATTTCTCCTGGTCACACATGCAGCCACATGCAGCTGGAGGCACAGCTGGGCTGGAAGGTCCAAGAAGGCCTCACACATCTAGTAGGTGGTGCTGGCTGTCAGCTGGGGCACCTCAGCTCCCCATCACATGGCTAGACTGGCTGCCTTATGTGGTGGTCTAGGGGCAGCGTTCCAACAGGGTGAAGGCAGAAGCTGCAAGGCCTCAAGGCTTAGGCTCCCAACTCATAAAGGGTCACTTCTGTCACATCCTGTTGTCAAAGCAAGTCACAAGGCCAGCCTGGATTCAAACGGTGGGGAAAGAGATACTACCTCTTGATGCAGGGAGTGGCAAAGTATTTGTGGCCATCTTTAATCTGCCACATTATCCATGGGGAGATTTTTGGGAAGACTGTTCCAGGCAGAGGGAAGAGCAAGTGCAAAGGCCCTGAGGTAGGATGGGGTCCAGAGACCTGAGCCTTGAACAATGGGTTCCTCCACTTCCTTGGTTTCCTCTTCTGTCAAGTGGGAACTAAGGATGCCTCCCTGCCTCCTTTATAGGCATATAGGCTGTAGGAGGCTTTGCTTCAGGGCAGGGTTAGGATTTTGGTTATTGGCCAGAGTGGGAGGAGAATCGAACATAGGAGCTCAGTTTGCCATTCTCTAAGCTCACTGGTGTTTGTTAACCACCATCTGGCAGGAAGGCACAGTGCTGGGCACCGTAAGTCACAAGAGAGGCTGAGGGGTGCTGATCTTGTTGAGCTTATGAGCTGAAAAGATGGCTCACTGAGCAGGATGGTGACTGAGCTGGAGCGATTGTGGGCCCCAGGGAAGGCCTGGAGGAGGTAGGATTCCAAGTGGGCCTTGCAGGGCACATAGGATTTGGCTGAAGGAGGGGAAACTGCTGATAGGGGAAGTGTGAGGGGCTGTGGAATTGAGCAATTCAAAGCAACAAATATTGCTGAACCCCGACTCTGCACTAAATGACCAGGACAGACAGAGGACCTGCCCAAGGTGTGGTGGAAACCCAAAGGAGGCACCACCCAGGCCAGGAGAGCCAGGAAGGCTTCCAGGAGGAAGCTGCAGCGCTTCAGAGGTGTGAAGGATGAGTCAGGTCAAGCATAGTGGGGCAGAGGGCTGAGTTGGAGGGACCAAAAGGGTCCCAGCGGAAGGAACAGCATCTGCAAAGGCCAGAGGGGAGGGAGAGCTTGGGATTCTCAAGTAAAGGCAAAGGGTTGTGTCTGAAGCAGAGAGTTCCTGTGAGAGGGAAAGGATGAGTTTGGGGCCACAATGGGCCAATTAAAGACTCCGACCTTTTTCCTGAAGGCAGTTTGCACAGGGTTGCCCGATTTAGCAAATAAAAATACAGGTTGTCCTGTTAACTTTGAATTTCAGATAAACAATGAATCATTTTTTAGTATAATTGTGTGCATACAATATTTGGAACATTCTTATACTAAAAAAATCATTCATTGTTTATCTGAAATTCAGTTTTAACTGGGCCTCCCGTATTTTCTCTGGCACCCCTAAGTGTGGGACCACAGAAGGGTTTTAAGCAGGGGACGACGTGGTCAGATTTACCTTTTGGGAAGCTCCCAGGATTTGTGGGAAAACACACTGGTGGGAGACAGGAAGGGGTGGAGGATGAGGGTCCTGCTTTGTCCTGGCCAGAGAAGTGGAGGTCCCCACCAGGGAATGGGGGCATCTCATCATGTCACCTCCCTCCCCCAGTGAGTAGGCGGCCCAGGATAAATCCCTCAGCAGACGCAATCTCAGGCGGGTGACTGCAGACCAGCTCAGACTCCAGTTCTGCCCTGTGAGCCTCTGGGCTGGTCTGCTCCCTCCTGGGCCCTCAGCATCCTCATCTGCTGAATCAAGGGGTCAGACGATAAGAAGAGATGGTCCATAAGGGCTCTTGTGTTCCTGCCATCCTGGGGCTTTCTGTCCATCCTCTCTCTGACATCTCTCCTGGGTGTTATCCCACTATGGTGACAAGTCCAAACCTGAGACAGTTGGCTCCAAGGTCACCCTTCCTGTGCCCCCTTGTTCCTTCTTCCCTTCCAACATCACTCTGACCAATGAATGCATGAAGTGCCCCCACACCTCCTCTCCAACCTCAGGCCCCATGTCTGGTTTGGGAGAAGGGACTCAGCATTTGCCAAGGTCCTACTATGTGCTGAGCTAGTTCCTCTGGATCACTTGTCTCATTTAATCCTCACAACAGTCCCTCAAGGAAGGTGTTATTATGCCCATTTCACAGATCATGGAACTGAGGCTCAGAGGTACAGTTGCTGCCCAGGTCACACAGCTGCGCAGTGCTGGAGTGGAGTCCAGGTCTGGCTGGTGCCAGTGCTCTGCCCTCCCACTGACTCCAGGAAATGTCCCTGGGAGCCCCTAATCCTCCATATATTTATTGCTCGGGCTCAATCAGCATTCTCCTTGTCCCACTGCAGGCACATGCTGCCCTAGCTCTTTCTGAGTTAAGCCAGGGACTAAAATGGGTCAGCGTATTGCACATGTGTGAGGGGCTTTCTGGTTTATGAAGCCCTTTTCCATCTGTGCCATCCTCACAACCCTGTGGAGACTCTGCATGGCCCCCTCCAGCTCTTCGAGCCTGCAGTTCTGCTGCGGTGAAGTCCACATTAAATATTAACAGGGCAGCTCCTGGCACCGCTGTGACGTCAGTTACTGGGCTGCTTGGTGAGGGCTGCGGCTGCCTTTCCAAGGTGAAGCAGTAACTGGAATTCAGCTGGCTCAAATGGCGTCCCAGGAGACTGGCTGTCGGGACTTGGAGAAGATGCTGCTAATGTAACGTGTGGCAAGAGTCCAAAAGCTTTCCTCTCATCTCCCTGGCTCCCTCAGGGCCTGGATGGCCTCCTGATGCTGACACAATGCATTCAGTCATTTGGCAAGTATTTACTGAGCACCTGCTGTATGCCAAGCACAGTGCTAGGCTCTGGGGATACAGCCAGGAGGATGACAAGGTCCCTGCATCATGGGACTCCCCGTCTGGCTGAGGAGAGGGAGAAACAGTCTCAATGCAGAGGGGCAAACCCAGTACTGCGGACCAGAGCAGGTGCCTGCCCCAGCCTGAGGCTGAGGGATCCTTCCAGAGGGTTCTGCTGAAACCTGAAGAAGGAGCCTGAGTTAGGTACAGAAAGAGGAGGGGTAAGTGTTTCAGGCAGAGGGAACAGGATCAGAGTTCAGATCCTGGTTCCATCCCTTCCCAGTCATTTATCTGCAAACTGGGTTCCCATCTTACAGGTTGCTATGAGGACTAAATGAAACCATGGGTAGTGATAGCACAGGGCTTGATGCAGAGTGAGAGCTCAGGGGTAGCTCTTAGGAAAATAGCTCTGCACCTTTATATAATTCCTTTGCCCTGCCAGGAATTCCTCCCCGCATTTGGTGAGCAGAGAAACTGAGGCTCAAAGGGGCGAGCTGACATGCCCAGGTTTATATTGTGATGCAGGATTATATTGGTTATACAGGGTTAGATCCCAGGCTGGGCACACGACCCCACGCTCTGACTTGGGCTTTTTGCCATTCTCCAGCCATAGGCAACCCAAGCAGCTGTCTTAGCTCAGCAAGACACAGAATCTCACCAGTGATCCCAGTGTGAGTTCCTCGGCTGCATTTCCAAGGCTGGTCTCGGACTTCTTTGAGGTAAGGCCACAGCTGTCTGAGGACAAGCCTAGGCCTTGGCTTTGGGAGGCCTGAGCATAGATCTGGCTCTGCTGCTAACTTGCTGTGTGACCCTGAATGAATTACTTTCCCTCTCTGAGCCTCAGCTCCCCGTATTTAATACTAATACCAGCTGTCACTGCCTGGGTCTCTGATCATCCCAATAGAGCTGTGACAAAGGAACTATTTTTAATTCCATATTAAAGATGAAGAACCAGTCTAAGAGGGGCAAAGTGACATGCAGAAAGCCACACAGCAAGTGGGGGCTGGGTTTGGAGCCAGGCCCATCTGCTGGCAGAGCTGGCTATCGGGTCCACCATGCTGTGCTCTCAGAGTAAGAAAGCCAACCTGAGTTGTCTCCAAGATCCTTATTATGAGTCTGGGATTCTGAGTTCCCTGCTGCCCCCAGGCCTCTAGGGCCCAGTGATTTCATGAGGCGGGCATTTCAGGTTGGGCTGATCTTCCAACTGTCCCCATTTAAAGGAGGTCACAGCATTGTCACAAGTGCCCAGTAGGCAGCACCTACTCTCTCTTAAAGCCACAGCCTCATTCCTCCTGGCAACAGCCCAGGGGGGTCTAGTATGAACAGCAACATGCCCCTTTTATGGAAGAGGAAACTGAAGCTTGGTGAGGTGCGGTGACCTAGCCAGGCTGCGCCAGCTACTGCAGAAGAGCTGGAACTTGAGGCTGGGTCTGGTAACTCCAGGTCTCGTTCTCTGAGTAACTGCAAGCTGGCCAGATTCAACCCAGGAGCCCTCCTCCTCCTTTAAGCCCCCTCCTAGCTCCTGCCATCTTGCCCTCCTCCCCCTTGCTCCCTCCCTTGTCTTATCTTCCACTCAGCTGTCAATTAATCAGTTAGCTGTCAGCCCATTTAAAGTGTTCCCCCTCCTGAAAGACCTTGGCCACTCACGAAGAAGGCTCTAGTGGTGGAATTTCTGCAATATACACACGGTGTGATCAGGTTCAATTCAGCACTCATGGAGAGGTGCACCCCAGGGGCTCAGATGATGAATGAAACACAGGCCCTATCCTCTGGTGTTTACCTTCTATAAGAGAAACGGCAACTGCCTCAGGAAGTGGGAAGCAGGAGGTATAAGTGCCAAAGAGCATGAACTTTATAGTCAGAAAGACCTGGGTTCAAATCCTGGCTCTGCCTCTACCAGCTACATGACCTCGGGTAGGCGAGCTTCAGTTTCCCCATCTGTTTAATGGGTATAAGAGGGATCCCCACCTCATAGCTGTCATGAGGATTAAATGAGATCGCATATTAAATTGCACAGCATGGTGCTTGATGCCTCTAGCCGGGCGGTAAACACCAATCCCACCAAAAGAACTTGATGCAGAAAAGAACTGGATACCAGGGTCACAGTGGGAGTGGGCAGGAGAGGAGAGTGCTTCTTAAAGGGGAGAACTGGGAAGCTCCTTAGAGGAGGTAAGATTTCAGCTGGACGTTAAAGGACTTAAGAAGCAGAGAGAGAGGTAGAGGAATGGGAAAGGACATTCTAGTTGGTAGAAACTCGTGGGCAGACTCTGGGCACCTGGTGGGCCTAGGACATCCAGGGAGTGGGTGATGAGCTTGGTAAGATGGGCCAAGGTCAGGTTATGAAGGGCCAGGGGGAGAACCTTGTATCTTTTAAAGGGCATGGGGCGGGGGGGAGGCTGGGCCGGTGGCGCAAGTGGTTAAGTGCGCGCGCTCAGCTGCGGCGGCCCGGGGTTCGCCGGTTGGATCTCGGGCTCGCACCGACGCACCACTTGGCAAGCCATGCTGTGGCAGCATCCCATGTGGAGTGAAGGAAGATGGGCACGGATGTTAGCCCAGGGCCAGTCTTCCTCAGCAAAAAAGAGGAGGATTGGCATTGGATGTTAGCTCAGGGCTGGTCTTCCTCACACACACACAAAAAAAGTAAAGGGGAATGGGTCCTACCCATGACCCCAGCAGCAGCTCAGTGCTGTGTCTGCAGGGACCAGCCTCCTGGCATCGGCTTTCTCCTGTGGCTTTGGTCCTCCCAGATCCCTTTGTTGCCTGAGTTGGGGCCAGCCTGCCATTGTTGTCTGGAAGAAGACAGAAGGCTGTAGCAATCTGCTCACCTCCTACTAACATACTAGGAAGAAAAGATGTTTTTTAGCACAGTTGCCTGGCAGGGAACCTAGGTGAAAACTCAGCGATCCTCTCCCTTACTTTCCAGGGTACCATTTAAGCAGCAGCTGATGACAGTTATGCTCACAGCTCAACAACCAAAAGAATGTTCTCAGGCTCTCAGAAGGTCAGGGGCAGCAGTGCAAAGAATGGTGAAGATAGAGAGGGTCTGGATCCTGGTTTCTGCCCCTTTCTGTGCTGCAGTTGAGAAGACATTTCAGTTCCCTGGGGCTCAATTTCCTCATCTGTAAAATGGAAACAATAATACTGACCTTACCTTAACCAAGTGGGAGCGCACTGGCAAACTGCTGCCCCATGATCTGCTATGGAGTAGGTCCTTGTTACCCTCTTCCTCTCCATGTATTGACGTGGTCCAAACACTGGTCCTCTGAAGCTTCCTTGATTCATCCTCTGAGTTGTCATGCCATTATTTGCTGAACTTCCAGTGGTGAAATACCCTAGACCTTCAGAGCTGGAAAAAAAAAAGGACTTCTGCCATCCACCAATGCAGCCTCCCATTTTACAGATAAGAGATCTAAGGCTCAGAGAGGGGAAGTCACAGCACTCAGGCCCCATCTTCCAGCTTTCCCAGACCACAAGCCCCTCCCACCTGGGCCCACCTCGTGGGAACCACACAGAAGCTTGAGGCAATTATCCAGATGGTTCCAGCCAAAGGATCTAGAAAATTCTGACTAAGAAACAAGTCCCCGACCATCTGCAGAACTGAAGCAAAAGCCTTTTTCTCCCTCCTTTTAACTGCGATTCCATAGGTGACAGCTTCATCCTCTCCCCCAGAGCTGAGCTCCTCTGAACAAGCTTGAGGGGGGCAGGTGCTGATCTGTGCTGAGCTGTACCAGCTCACAGATTGCAGCTACCAGGACATTTTCACACTTCTTAATGCCAAAAGCTGCCTCCGGAGCTGATCTGCTCCTAAAGCGGGCTTTGAAAGAGTTGTGGAAGGCTCTGGATGATCCTGAAACCTGTGTGCTTAGGCTGATCTTAGACATACAGGGTGGAATTTGGTATCAGCAAAGGACACTGGGGCCAAAGCAAATGGCAGGAAGTGGGTGTGAGTGGGACGGCTGTGGGTGACTGCCTTGACCACCGAGCAAGTGTCTGACCCTTCTAGGTCTCATTTTCCTTGTCCATATAACAGGGATAACAACCTCCTTCCAAGGTTGTGAGGATTTGGTGAGATAGTATATGAGGGTAAAGTGTTTACCCCCAAGCCAGGGAGAGAGCCAGTGAGTAATAAACAAGAGCTGCTGCTGATGCTGTTGGGGCCGGTGTTATCATCAGTGGCTCAGGATCAGCCAGGTCACTTGGGCAGCAGGAGGCCTGCATTTGGGAAAAAAAATTAAAATCCTATCTGGGTGACACAAATCTGTGGGCGGGTGGCCCCTCCTGCTCAGGACGGTAACCATGCCAACAGTGTGCATGCCATCTCTCCAGAACAATACCAGGTCTTCTTTGTAATATGTCCCTTGGTGTCTGGACTTCTCAGGAAGCTCAGAGTGTCCCAGAGTACCAGAGGCAAAATCAGGACGTGCCTTTTCTGGGTCACCTATTCACTGGGCTCCAGCGGAGGGTTCTGGCAATGCTTTGGAAATTCAGACCCGCGTGAGGGCAGTCATTACCGCTGGCTCAGGGTGGGATGCAGCAAGGAATTATTATATAGCTGTGACGGCTGGTGTTTCCCATGTGCTGGCACTGTGCAGGTGTGGTACACGTGCGCTCTTGCCCATTCCCAACCCCAAGAAACAGGTGTGGTTAGTCCTGGTTTACAAGAGGCTTGCCCGAGGATACTCAGCTGGTAACTGGCAGAGCAGGATTCAGACGCAGGTCCAGATCCTTCTCCTCCATCACACCACATACACGTCCTCAGGTAGCCAGAGGGGGTTGGCTCTGTTCCCTGAGACCTGTACCAGGTGAAGATGCAGCAGACCTGGCCCCTGCACTGGGGACCTGCTCTGAGCTCTGGACCAACACTGAATGTTTAACATTAATCATCAGCCCCTTTCCCCTGGTTCAGGGGCTGTCTTCGGAGTTGTTCATAGGCCATGTTTCTTGATGGGACTTAGAGCCCTAGGAGGAGGCAAACTGTCCAAGGCGATTGTCCTAGTCTTTATTTATGAGGTTTTGGAGAGTCGGCAGCTCTCTCCCTAGGGTGAAGAAGGTGGGTGCTACTAGAAGGTGGGTGCTGCTAGAAGTGTGTAGGCTATAAGAGGGGAGGCTTGTGTATGCTTTTCACAACCTGAATGACCCCAAAAGTGGAGTCACGCCTTGGCCCCTTCTCAGCTAATGCTGGGGAAGTGTGGGGCCGTCAGGCTGGGGAGTCTGCTGGACCTGAGTTTGAATCCTGGCTCTGCTGATACCAGCTGTGACATTATTCAAATCAGGGAGCATCTTTGAGCCAGTTGCCTCATCTGTAAAAGGGAAATGAAAATCGTGCCAACCTTACACGAGTATCCTGAGGAGAACAATACACCCGTCTCTGCAAAGCCCCTCGCCCAGTGCTGGGAACGTGGTACATGTTCCCTCCTCCTCAAGAGTTGGCGTGGATGATGTCACCCACGATAGGGCAGAGTGACAAGAGGGCCTGGGATGGAGCCCTGAGCAACCCCAGCATTTCAGGGTAGGCTGAGAAGACAAGCCTACACAGGAGACAGAAGAGGAGCGGCCAGAGCAGCAGGGGGAAGACAGGAGAGAGAAGGGTCATGACAGCTAAGAGGAGAGCCTGTCTCTGATGCTCTAGGAGTTGTGCCCCGTGCAGCCAAGAGGGCCAGGAAGGTGAGGACTACAAAGTGACCTTGGATTTGACAACAGGAACGCTGGCTAGGTGGAGGAGTAGGGGCAGAGCCAGAGTACACTGAGCTGAAGGGTGGGTGGGAGGTGAGGAAGTAGAGACAGTGAAGTTTGGTGAGAAGGAAAGAAAAGCTTCATGAGAGAACCAAAGTGTTCCCCATTTGACATTTATGAATGTTAAAATCAACTAGAATTGAATGTGATTAGAATGCTCCAGTCCACCTAATTTTCACTGTTAAGAAATCAATCTCTGTCCAACACGATCAGAAAAGCTAGAAAGGCTCTAACCCCTCTAAGAGCTGGAAGGAACTGTGGAGGTTCCCCCACCCCGCCAGTGCTGGCCTTCCTCCTACCTCTCACTGGAACCCCAGCCTCATGGAGGGTGGGGTGGACAATTAATCATTAGCTATCACACTCTTTAAAGATATTCACTAGGGAAAAGATCAGCCTGGTTTGTTAACCTCGATTCCATCGTAGTTAGCGAAGGTGACTCTTCAATGCATAGTGAAGCCTGAGGTGGGGGCCTCCTCCCAGACCCACACTCAAATCCTGTTTCATGGGTGCTGAGGGCCTCACTTTAGCATCACAGCAGGAAGAAGGCTCGGGAGTCAGGAGACCTGGTATGGAGGCCTCAGCTCTGCTCACTGGCTGTGTAAACTGGGGACAGCCTCTCCTCCTCCTCAGACCTGTTTCTCCTTATGTAGGATGAGAGGTTGGACAGCAGTGACTCTAAGGGTCCTGCCAGCTCTGACATTCCAGGATTTCTATTCTACAGTGCTTTTCACGTTCCTTCAAGTCCAATGTCCAAATGTTAAAACTGAGGCCAGAAAAGGCCCACTCTCCAGTCCCTCCCTTCTAATGTGTCTTACTCTCCTGAGCAAGATTCCTGGCCTGAAATATAGCTCCCACACCTCTAGTGGTTCCCAATTACCTAAGGATAATAATGCCTCAAATCTTCAGCTGGCATTGACAATACTCCATAATCTTGTTTTATCCAAACTCTTTTCCCACGCCAGGCCTCTCTCTCACCTCTCAGATTTTGTTTCTATCCTCACTGCCAAGCCTTTGCCCTTGGTAGATCCCACTCCCTAATACCTTTCCCTGACTCTCATCTCCTTTAAGGTCCAGTTTACCTGCTCTTGCATACTCAGATCTCAGCTTCTGCACAGAAGCTCTATCTTACTTATTACGCAGCTCCTCCTTCCCCCAGCGCTGAGCATGCAGTAGGTGCTCAATAAAATTCTCAGCAAGCCTCAAGCCCCTCCTCCTATGCTGCCCTGGGCATGTTGTTCGTAAATCCCCGGTGTTTTAGTCATCGGGATTTTCCTAGCTTGTCCAGGGTCCAGCCCAGGGCCTGGCAGGAGGGACCCTCAGCATCGAATGCCAGGACTGGACGGGCTTAGTGACCAGCCAGCGGGTTCACCGTCCTCTTTGCCACAGGAGGAAGCCCAGTCTGGATTTGAACTCAGACCCTGGTCCCACCACTTACAGACTGTGACCTTCAGCGAGTTACTAATCTGGCTTTGAAAGATGGGGGAAGCAGCTGTGCCCACCTGCACGATGCGTCGAGAGGACTGAGTAGGATTAGGCCCGTGAAGGGCGAGCGCTGGGCGGCTCCTGGTAGGTGTGTCGTGGACGTTACTCGTCCCAGCAGGCCCACCCAGCCGCTCCTCCGCGGAGGGCACACTCTGCCCAACGCCACCTCGCAGGGTGGCGGCGCAGTGAGTCACTGTGCGTGTGTGGGGCCGTCCCCCAGGGCCGGACCCAATCCCGCCCCGTCCACTTGCGGAAACAAGTGCGGGGTGTGGCCCCGCCGACCCATCGGCCGGGCTGGGCTCCCGGAGGGTGAGACGGCGGGGGCGGACCCCTCCGCCGCTCCGGGCACGCGGCCTCCGGGCTTCTCCAAGCACTAGGTTTATTTGCTTTTTGGGCCCTTCTCAAGCCAGACCTCTAACCTGGATTCCCAGGGGCTTTTCAGGGTGGGGCTATGACAATGCGCTGCCTGCGCCGCCGCCATCACCGCGCCCCGTCCCGGGGCTCCGCAGTCTCCACCCCACTCTCCTCTCCCACCTCCACCTATGCGGCGGTAAAATGCAGCACTCGCAGGGCGCCTGCGCGGCTCTCGGGCGGGGCGGCGGCGGCAGCTATTTATAGTAGGTGACGTCACCTTGAAATAGACCGTTAGGGCCAGCCCGCCCTGCCCCCCTCCCACTCCCGCCGCTCCCCGCCGCCCGGCCCGGCCGCTCCCACTGCGCAGGCGTCCTCGCGTCCTCCCATCCCCCCGCGCGGCCGCCTCTCCTCCCTCGGCGGCGTCCGCGGCGCGAGCCACAGCGCGCGGGGCGAGCCAGCGAGAGGGCGTGAGTGGCGGTGCTGCCTGCAGCCTGCAGCCTCCGGCCGGCCGGCGAGCCAGTGCGCGTGCGCGGCGGCGGCCTCTGCGGAGACCGGGGAGCGGACCGGCGGGCGAGCGAGCGAGCGGTGCGGGGCGCGAAGCGAGGCCGAGCCAGGAGCGACAATGGGGGATCGGGAGCAGCTGCTGCAGCGGGCGCGGCTGGCCGAGCAGGCAGAGCGCTACGACGACATGGCCTCCGCCATGAAGGCGGTGAGCGCGCCGGGAGCCCGGGCGGTCGGCCGGAGGGGCCCGGCGGAGGGGAGGGATGGGCGGCTGGGCGGTGTCTCCCTCCGGGCCCGGGGCGACCCCGCTACCCTGCTGGCCGCGGCTCCCCGCCGGCAGCCCGCGCTTCCCGCGCCCGCCGGGCGCCCCGCCATTTCCTGCGGCCGGGCCGGGGTGGGGTCTCCGGGGAGGCAGCCGCTCAGGGTCGCAGATGCAGCCCCGCGGGACCGGTGGGCGATGGTGACCCCTGCGGGCGGGCGGGGGTCGTCGCCTCCTAGCTCGGAGCCCTGGGAAGGGGA